GGACCCGCGGACCCTCCGCCCTTCCCGCCTCGCATGGGCGTCTTTTGCCGCCCCTGGTGAGGAGACAGCAGCGGCCATAGGAGCGTCCCCACATGGCAGTGTGAATGGACATGGCCCATCCTGTCCCACTCAGAAGGATGAAATCACGCAGTTGACTGATTTTGGGTTTTAAATTCTTTAAGGGCATTGGTAACCCCCTGCCTCCCCAGCCCCCTCCTGAGTGTGCCCTCCTGTGGCAACTGCTTACGGAGTTAGGGCTGCCAACTCCACTGCGCTAGCTGGAAATTGGAAGGCACGTGTAGGATCTTGCCACATGGGAAATATAAAATTCTCACGAGGAGCAATCTTTGAACAGCTGCTTTCCAAGGGAAAATGAAATAGGGAAAAGCAACAATAATAATAATAATAAAAATAATAGTAATAATAATAGGGGAAGGGGGTGTCAGGAAATAGACTTTGGGAAACCTATATGGTTTTGTAAACAGCCCTAGCTGCATCGTGGAAGTGACAGACACCAAAAGCACCAACCCTTGAGGTGGGCATTTTTCTCTGCAGGTTCCTGCTCTGTCATTTCATAGTCAAAATTAAGTCCCTAGGGAAATGCAGTGCCTCTCTCTGCTCCTTCCCTCTGCTCTTCCTTTCTTTCGTTCTCCCCTTTTCTCCCCATCCTTTCTGTAGCATTCTCCACGTGGTTTTAAGACCCCATGGCAGAGGATGAGTACCTGAGTGCCTGTCACCTCAGCTCCAACCTCTGGGTCCTCAGCTGCCCGCAGAAACCACCACTGGATTTCAAGGTACACCGAAGTAGAGCCACTTTGGAAAGCACAAGACATCTCCACATTCTGCCCTTCAGTGGCCGTGACATTTCGGGGAAACTCTGTGAATTTTGCTGTAAAACAAATGCATAACATATTGCTAACTTCTAATCATTTATGCTCTGCTTCTTGTGTTGTGTTTTTTTTTCTTATTGTTTCCTTCCACTCCCCCCCTTTTAAATTCTCTGTTTTCTTTTCTTATTCCCACTCTCTTCATTTTTTATCTCTTGAGTGTGCCACACATTATCTCCCCCAGTTTTTCTCACACCCGGGTATGTTTTTCCTCTCTTATGCACAAATCCACCCTCTTTACACTCTCAATTCTGCTCATGGGAAATGCTATATATCCCTCTGCTTGCTCCCATGAGCTGGTGAAGTTTCACATAATTAGGTCCAAATACCCTTGGGCAGAATGCAGTATTTCACCAGACTCACTGAGGGATTTTGTACAAGACCACTTTAGGAGAGGAAAAAATCAACCTAATTTATTGTATTTTGTAGGGCTGAGCTGTAGACCTGTAAATTGTTAAACATTCCACAGCTAGCTGAAGCAGCTGTTGGCACAGGAACCTCTGGGTACTCTTCTGAGTAAGTGTTACAATCACTCCTCAAATGTCCTTTTTAAAGGCCTTACCTGACTTAGCTGCTCAGATTCTGAGAACCTCTGCTTGCATAATCAGACCAAAAGTGAATTCACCTTCTGTTTCTCAGTCCCAGAAGACACTTTCTAGAACTAACCTTCATATTTGTATCTCAGTCCTTCAACAGGATCTGCCCATTTCAGTTTACCACTGCTAGGTATAAAAGCTAATGCTGATAGACATTGTCCAAGGCATCAGTAATTCTTTAAGTCTCAGTCTTTAACTTCATTCTCATCATTCCTATCACTCACTTTAAAATTGTGCAGCATAATGAATCATGATAGTCAAGTGAGGGGGACTGCAGACAAACAATCTAATAAATAAATGTGGTGTTTCAAGAAGAGGAAAAATTGGAAAGACTCTTCAAAGTCGTTTTCTGTTATGAATTGCTACAGATTGACTAGGGCACATTATGATCTGAAGGAAATGTCATGCATAAGAAATATTGCTCATTGTCTCCTCCCCTCTTCCCCTCTCTATATTCAGTCTTCCTAGCCAACCTGAAATTGGTGGGATATTTTGGTAACCAGTATTACTTCTCTTTATCCTTACATCTGTGCCTGGCAACAAATACTTTCAAAGCTTCTAGCTTTATATTCCACGATGCCCCTTTTTCAGACCCCCACCCCCACCAGCCAGCCATTGCTAGTCACCGACTTAAACTGCCAAAAGGACCGTGCATTTTGTGTGTTCAGTGCTAGTAAGTTTGTTTTGGGGTTTCTTTTCCGTTTACTCCTTCTCTTCCCTCCTGGTCAGTAAGCGTGAGCGGCGTGGGGACACGGAGTGGAACGCTGCCGGCATCCCCTCGGTGGCACCGCCAAGCGAAGCCGCGGGGAGCTGCGGGCAGGGGA